ATTAAATAAAAGTTAGTTCCTTTATTTAATCATCTTTCTTACCAAAATAAATTAAATTAAATATATAAAAAAATAAATTTTCTATTAAATTCATCAATTCATTTCATTTTTTTCTAAATTTTAATGCTAAAAATGTATTTGATTTGATGGATAAATATTTTCATACATCAAATATAGATAAGTCTTACTTTTTATATCTTTTATGTCCTACTAAACTCTTATCGTTGACGACACATTTGCTGCCAACATAACAAAAAAGTATAATCTTTTTTGGATTTTTCCTTTTCTACCCTCGCACGTCAAAAGCTTATAATTAAAATATGTTTAATGAATAAAAAGAAAACAAATTTTCTTAGTCATTACTACATATAAATATAAATATAGATATAAAATTTACATCTATAATATGTGAAATAAATTTCATTATAAAGTGGTTTAATGTTGTTATTAAAAAAATATGTAATCAAAATCTCCAAACCAAAAGCATCCAAATGAAAGATTCCAAATTAGTCACAAACGTGTATTCCCTTTTCCTTCTTTTTGTTTTTTTATATAATTATTTAAAATTATGACATGGCATGGCGTCGATGGGTCTGACGTGGCATTGCCAAATCTGGAGTCACATGTGAAGTCATCTCCAACTGAAATCGCTAGAGAGTGGGAAACTCATACACATCAGCACATCGATGTAATATAATATAATATATATGCACATTGGTTTTAATTTAATTTACTATTTTATTTCTAGAAAAACAAAAGGAGATAACCACAAATCTTATTTTTTAGTGAAAAAAAAATATACAAAAAAAAGCCCATAGAACGATTAGCTGATAAACATATGCTTTTGCTTTTATGGGTTACAAAGCACTATCTCGTCAAATTGGGGTATGCTGACATAAGATCTCAATTTTAATTAATTACTTTCCTTAATCCTGTCTTAACTATTACATTATATAATAATATAAGACAATCTCAACAAATTTTATTTGGTTATTTACGATAAGGATGTGACGTATATGAATATATTGCTAACGATATCTTAAGGATGGACTAGTGAAAAATGTGCAGTGACATAGGAGTTAAAGTAAGATTTAAAAGGCAATTAATTTATAAAATAAAAGTAATTAATAAGTGATGAGATGCTTGCTAGCTTATCCAAGTGAAAATGACAGGCATGACGGCTGGATAACCTAAGAGATAAAAGTATGATAAGAAACGGACCAATTGGAGTGAGTAATTATAATTATTAAATAATAATTAATATAAGCTTTGCATTTAATCACATTTTTTTTAATTAATATAAGGACATATGAAGAAGCTGATGATTAAGAACAGGAAAGTATTATAGAGGCGCACAAACCAAAAATCTTGCATTATCCAATAGTAAACAAGTGCTTTGGATAATTATGTCAAAGATGGTTGAACTTGAAATTAGGATTTTCAAGTGTTTAGCTAGACACCACTAGTTAGTTACCTAATTGGTAACTGTCTAGTGGAATCAATTAAATAACAATAAGATAATATAGATTAATTTTAAAGAGGGAATAAGGATATATATATGTATATCAATGATGTGTCGTAGTACATCCTCAAAAATGATGCGTCAGTGGTAACTAATTATATATTCCTGATTGATCTTTTTATTTTTTATAGAAGATATAAAAAGTGAGAGGTCTCGAATTTAAATTTCTCAACCATAAAAATTATCACTAATTTGATAAACGTTATTCATATATCAAAAAAAAAAAAAAGTGTCATAGTAAATCGATCTCAGAGTACTTACCGTTTACCGAAGCTAGATGAACAAGATTATTCTTTTTATATTTTCACGAGGTATATAGGTTCGTGTCTATTTTTACGGTTCAAAGTAAATTTGACTAATTGCTGCTCGCCTTTAGAGACAAAGGGGTTGGCTCGAGGTATTCAGGCCCCTGTTTATTTTTACGGTTCAAAGTAAATTCGACTAATCGCGACTCACCTTTAAAGATAAAGAGATTGATCCAAAAAGAGTTTGCGTTGCGAAATATTAAACTTATTATTTAATCCGATCAATCTCGAAAGTGCCCTTTACTAATAAATTACATTATTAGAGGATCAAATATTACTCATATATATATATATATATGAGAAGAAAAATATAAAACGCATCCAAATATTTTTGTGAAATGTGAATTAAAAAAAAAAAAAGAAATTGGTTTGGTTTCTGAGAGTTAGACGACAATAAGTTATTCATTCTACAATTTTACACTGAAAATAGGAAGAGAAAAGAAAAAGAAAAAGAAAAAGATTATAATGGCATGTGATTATGCTTTTATCAATTCTGCAAATGAATGAACCTCGTCACTGTTATTTCCAATCTATCTGCCTCCCTATATGTCATTTCATTTTTCTTTGAAATTTGAAACTAATCATTTCATACTATAGTATAGATTATTAAACAGAAATCCAATTAATTTATTAGCTCAATACATTGTATCCTCACCTAATAAATCTTTTTTTTTTCTATAAAATATTATTAAAGAAAGAAAAAAAGATAAAAAGGGCATTGGATCTCAAAATAATTCTGGTTGTAGCATATAATGCTCTCTCTCTCTCTGTCTCTGTTCTACAATGCCACATGTTCCCAGTTCCCACTTGAAAGGAGTGGCAATATATATATATAACAGAAAAACAGCTATTTCCGTATCACTACACAGGAATACCGTACATCATACCATTTTTTTCTTTATTAAAAATAAAAATACAAAAACAGAATATTGAGATTTAAGAACAACATTATTTTTTTTTATACACGTATCTTTCATGTTTGAATTGTATTAAATTTTGATTAGTGTCATGTTGAGCACTATTTTTTTTTTTTTTACTAACTTTTAACATTTTAATCAAATTAAAACTCTATTAATTGTACAGTTTCTGTTACATAATTTTTATACGCGATGAGAGCTTCACATAGACTAATTAAATTTTTTTAAAAATTATATTCATTGTTTTTTTTGTCTAATTCAGCTAATTAAATATTTAATGTCAGTTTCAATTAAATAACTAATTAAACAACTATTTTAATTTTTAAATTAATATATTTTTTTAAAAATTTATTCATTGTTTTTTTGTCTAATTCAGCTATTAATATTTTAATGTCAGTTTTCAATTAAATAACTCATTAAAACACATTTAATTTTTAAATTATAATATATATATATATATATATTATATATATATATATATATATAATTTACAATATATATATAATTACAAGCTAAAAACTACTGTAATAACTAACAAACAGTTAATATTAACGAGCATGCCCTAAATTGTAAGTAATTAAAGGGAAAATAGTTTTGAAAAGAAAATTAAACTATTAGGTGGAATCTGTAATTGGGACCCACATAAAAGGAAAAAACCAAACAAACCCATAAGCCAAGATGAGCCACTGTTTGAGGACCGCCCCGGTTTTATTTTTTATTTTTTATAAATATATGAAAGGATTATCAACAACTAGGCATTTGGACCCTTCAAAGAACGAGGACTCATCCGTACGAATTCACCTACCATTTATCTAATATCACGTCTCATGTTCTATGTTCTCCTCCATTGTACATTACAATTTCTTTTAAGAAAAAAATAATTAAAAAATAAAACTTGCTACCTAGATTCTCCTGCCCACAAAAAATAAAAATCTGGGTCACACAAAAAGATTTGTTGATAATGCAACCCCAACACCCTTGGATATTTTGATCCAACGGTGTAGGATGTGGATTAAAGACATGGGCAAGTGTTACTACAAGGCATGGGTTTAGTGCATGCATGAACAACTCAATATGAAAAAATAAAAAAATAAAAAACAAAAACAAACAACAGAATACCCAGTTTGACAGAAAATGTCAAATGCTGGAATTGTGCAAATAATGGAATGATATGATTTTATTTTATTTAAATTGAGAAGATACCAAGGTGAACCTAGCCAATAAGACAAATAAGATAGTAGAAGAACCAATATAATGAACCCATTTGTAATTTTTTTTTCCTATATATCAGGCAATATCTTTTCATTTAGCTTCAAAACTCTATTTAGCTATTAAATGGAACGTTCAGTGACATAGTTTTTATAATAACTTTTAGAATTAAACGAGTTTTTTTTATAAAACATTAAACACTCTAAAGTTTTTAGCTTAATGTCCTTTTGTGTCATTTTAAATTAACTGAAATAACTATATTTATCGAATACTTCTAATTTAAATTGCTATATAAATCGATAGCTGACAACTAATATAAGAGGTAATGACTACTAAAATAACTAATATTAAAAAACAGAGCACAAATAAATACAAATATGATTTATGAATTAGGCCCAGTAGATGTTTATCCAATAGGTGGTGGTGTGGTACATCCATTGTCCATCTCATCTTTCTATGGCCTTCCTTACCTTCTTTATTACTAGTAATCTCCCATAGCATTCGCAGTAGTAAGGCCAAGGCCCCACTTCCCATCCATCCTAGTGGGAAGAAAAATGCAAAACTAAGTACTAAAACCTGAACGTTTATCTGGATTTTAATTGGAGTAACAAAAGCAATAACAAATAATAGAGCAGATTTTGATGATTCAGATAAGATCATAGTTATTATTTTTTTTAATGAGTTATGTTTTGTTGTGACAAATGTAAATAGACCATGCTGGTGGTCAGCAGTCGCAGCAGGAAAGCCTCAGGGGGGATGAACTTAACTAAAACACGGTCCACAGTCATGTGAACCCCATCAACTTGTTTTTCCTTGTGGGTCCTATTTCACATACCACAGCCCACAACTCACGCCTTCTCTCTCCCCCCCTTGAATCTTCCCTCCTCTTTCTATTTTCCTTTGACCCACCACACCCACATCCCCATATCTGTTTTTATTATTATTTTTTATTTTTTTATTTTTTATTTACCTCTACCTTTACTTTCCTATATCCTATACCTATATCTATATCTATTTCTATATCTATATATATATATACAACGTTTCCTCAAAACACAACCCAATTCATACCTTTCTTTCTTCTGCCCTTTTAGTCAACAATTAATACATCTCAATCTCTCATTTCTCCGTTGAGATTCAAAAATGGATGGAAGTTGCATAGATGAGAGTACTACTACTGACTCCATTTCTCTAACGCCGCCAACAAAGTCCTCGCCGGAGTCTCCTCTCTGCCGTGTTGGAAGCGGCACAAGTGTGATTCTCGATTCTGAATCCGGCGTCGAAGCTGAGTCTCGTAAACTCCCTTCCTCTAAATACAAAGGCGTTGTTCCTCAACCGAACGGCCGCTGGGGAGCTCAGATTTACGAGAAGCATCAGCGTGTTTGGCTTGGTACTTTTAATGAAGAAGATGAAGCAGCCAAAGCTTATGACATCGCTGCACAGAGATTCCGCGGCCGCGATGCCATCGCTAATTTTAAGCTTGAAGCGAATGAAACTGAAGACGATGATATCGAAACGGCTTTCTTGAACTCTCATTCGAAAGCTGAAATCGTCGACATGCTTAGGAAACATACTTACAACGATGAATTAGAGCAGAGCAAACGGAACTATAGAATCGATGGTCAAGGAAAGCATAAAAATCACGGCGGTGTTAATAATGTCGGTTTAATTGCATCAGAGCGCGTGCTGAAGGCGCGTGAACAGCTCTTCGAAAAAGCCGTGACGCCTAGCGACGTCGGGAAACTGAACCGGTTGGTTATACCGAAACAACACGCGGAGAAACACTTTCCTTTACAAAGCGGAAGCAATAGTACAAAAGGCGTTCTACTAAATTTCGAAGATATTACAGGAAAAGTATGGAGATTCCGTTACTCATATTGGAATAGTAGCCAAAGCTATGTATTGACCAAAGGATGGAGCCGGTTCGTGAAAGAGAAGAATCTAAAAGCCGGTGACATTGTTAGTTTTCAAAGATCGACGGGACCGGATAAGCAGCTTTATATAGATTGGAAAGTGAGAACCTCCGGGTCGAACCAAGTGGTTTGCCCGATGGTTCAACCGGTTCAAATGGTTAGATTATTTGGGGTGAATATTTTTAAAGTAGCTGGAAATGGTAATGGTGGTGTGGAAGGAGTAGTTGGTGGGTGTAGTGGGAAGAGAATGAGAGAAATGGATCTGTTATCATTAGAGTATAGTAAGAAACAGATGGTAATTGGAGCTTTGTAACATTCTGTAATTTTTTTTTTTTTTTTTTTTTTTTTTTTTGGGTAACATCTGTAATTTTTTTTTTTTTTTTTTTTTTTTGGCAATTTTCGTTTAAAGGTTAAATGAGGGAGAGGGGAAGGGAAGGCAGAGCCAGAGGTGGTTGTAGCGACTAAGGCAAGTTGCAAAAAAGATGAATTGTATAATTCAACAAGAAAAAAAAAAAAAAAAAAAAAAAAAAGCTGAAATTAGGAGCAACAAATTTGGAAAAAAAAAAAAAAAAGGAATAGATAACTGTCAATTTGTTCTGTTCAATTCCTGGACTTCTTGAGACTTCATGTTATAATGCATCAAATTTGTCTTTTACTTTCCAAATTTTACTGCACAACCAAAAATTTTAAAGAGAAAATAGGGTTATGTTATAATGATATAATTGATAAAAAGAATTAATTATTTGGTAATTATTATTTTAATTTTTAATACGAATTTCTCAAAATTTCTACCTCCATCAATTATGAATATGCCTCATAAGAATGAGACGTCGCGAGGAAGAAAGGGTGGGTACGGGAGGAGCCAAAATTTTATAAAAAGAAATGTTAGGCTAATTGGTAATAAAATTATCATTTCTTGTCGCTTACCTAAATAGGAAAGTCAATCATCATCATAATCTAAACTGCCAAACACAGAAAACTACATCCAAATTTTGTTAACTTCTGGTTGATCTTCTTATTTATATGGAAAATAAAATCTCTCTATTGAAAGATTTTTCACCGTTTAGTGAGTAAAATGAAAGTTATATCTATTATATAATCCAAAATGTTCTTTTGACTTATTAGATCTCCTAATAAATAAAAATGGCATAGGATTTTTATAAAAAGTATTATTATATCATTGCCTTTTATTTTGATATACTAAACACTTTAATTTATGAAATTATATTTTAATATTTTAATTTGTAAAGTTGTTTTGTAGATCGCTTTAATTTATAAAATTGCAATATTCAACACTTTTAGTCCATGGAATAATATTGAATATTGCAATAAAAAGATGAATGATTAAGAAAGTATTATATAGTTAAAAAAATGTCTAAATTTATATATAATAGATAGTAATTTTATCTATTGAATTACTTAATATTTAGAGCAAGAAAAAAAAAAAAGTAGTAGTTAACATAGTATAAGTTTACAAATGAAATTGTTTAAGAAATAAAATTAAAAGTTAAAAAGTTAATTAATAATTTGTTCATGTAAAGTTGAAGTTCCATTCACATATTTAACTCAAACCATGTCAGAGATTAAGATACTAAGAAAGAATGGAAACTATATATATATAATATATATATATATATATATTATATAGATATATAAAGTTTTATGATAGAGATGGGTGTGACTAGAGGGAAGGGAAGCCATCCCTGTCCTCTGCTACCAATGGCCAATAAGAATTTGCTCACTAAGGACATTCGCAAGCTGGCAAGTGGCCGAAACCAGCGATAAATATTATTCATGCATGGATATGTCAATGGGTGCTACTGCTTCCTTCCTATTAATATTTTCATTGCTAAATTCACATTCTTATTTTTTTTTTTTTAAATTTGAATTCCATATTCTTATTCTTCTTTTATAAAATAATAAAAATGAGTGAGACAATTATAATCAGTCCTTATATTCGTACGGGTCCATAACTTCACATACATTGTTTAATAACTGAGTACACCTTTGTTAGTATAGAAAATTAAAAAAATAGAGGACATAGTTTTTAGAATTTAAAAATATAATTAATTTTCATATATGGTGATTAATTTTTAAAATTTTCATATCAGCATTTGAATACTTCATCATATATAAAATTCTTTCACAAAAATCTAAACATATCTTCCTTGATTTTTCATCCTATATTTTCATTAAACCACAATCAAATTACTTAGATTAATTATAATAATTTAATTAAACACTATATTCTAATTAACATGCAACTACACATCACATGCCTATTAAAGAATTGCCTTTTGACAATTGTTAATTTTTATTGGAAATTTGTCAAATCCATGAAATAATATTGTCAAATAATATATTTTTTTAATAGTCAAAGCCTGAATTTTCATAGGAAATTATACTTTAACATCACATTTAATACCCTATGACTTCAAAGTTTTAAAGATTTGATTCCAAGTCTTATATTAGTTAAATGGATCATAATCTTTTGTCACAGTTTTCTTCTGAACATGGTCTAATATTAATTTGTTTTGTATTTTCTTGCCAAGTTCCTGAAAGTTGATTAATTTTATTGCAATGTTTAGTTGTCTATTTTCATGTTCATGAATCCTTTTTTTTTTTTTTTTTTTTTTTTTTTTTTTTCTTTTTTTTTTTTTTTTTTTTTTTTTTTTTTTGTTCTTTTCAATTAAAAATTGGCAATTTGGGTGTAATAATTGCAAGAAAAATGCAGCTAACATTAATTTCTATTTATTTGTCACAGAAATTGACTTGGAAGCCAATTGGATATTAAAAAACCATCACTCTCACACATGTCTCATATGGGTCCATTTTCTTTTATTGTTTTTCTATTCAACAAAATTTTATTATCAAGTTGAGATTTCTCAAGTTATGGAATATACTTCATCTCAAAAACAATTTGCCACATTTGACTGGCAACTTAAATTTGTTTTTGTTTGGGGAAAATTATATTGTCAGGATTGTTTGTTTTGTCTTGTTGACAATTTATTAGATTTTTAATTTTATTTAATTAAATAATAATGAAATAAATTTATTTATTTGAGCGAACCAATAAAATGTTTATCTGAGTTTATAAGCCAAATTTTGTTGCACGAAAAAAAAAAAATTTTGTAGTTAATTTAATAGACTTATAATTTATTGCAAGAGAAATAAAATTATCTATATAATTATGAAGTGATGTGGTGCGCCTTTCTTAATCATTCAGTTCAATAAATTGTTGACTGAGATTTAACATTCAAAAGTCAGTCCAAACAAATGATTCCTGCATTAATTTTGTAAAATTCCGTTAAATTAATTTCCAAAACTAATAAAAAATCATTTATGTTGCAGAAAACTCAAAACTCTTTTTTATTTATATTTTTTTTATAGAATGATATAAACCGATTATTTTCATTTTTTTATAAAATTTTTATTTTATGAGTTTTGAATACTTTATTAGAATTTTAAATCGTTATACATTAATTAAGACTTCAATCAAAATTTTAAAATTAACAAAAGTATTACATTTTTTTTTTTTTTTTGTTTTTTTTTTTGGTAAAAGAAGAGTAGAACAACAAAGCCATTTTTTTTTTTTTTTTGGTAAAAGAAGAGTAGAACAAAAAGCCAATGCTACAAGCATCGACCCAAAGAATCTAAGACAAGGAACTAGGATTAGCTTCCCAAACGAATAAAGAATAATGGATGACATGCCCCAACTTGGCGAAATGATCAGCTGCAAAATTAGTTTCACAAAACACATAATGGATAGAACACTCCCAATTACGAGTCATCAAATTCTGAATATCCAAAATTAGAACAGCCAAAAGATTAGCAATAAGTTCACCAGCCTAACAGCCTCTGCCAAAGAGACAACTATTTTATTTTCATATTATTCCATGAATTAACAGAAAATTTAAGCTAAAAAAAAAAAGTACGAGTGCCAAATTATATAGTTTAGGCCCAATATGGAATCTCTTAGTTGGGCTTCAAGTTAGCCCAAACGAAAACCTTCTTTGGTTAAAAGCTACACCCACCTTAACCAGCTCCTGTTTTAAAATCATTAAAATTGGGTGTGTTGGTTCGGTTTGAGACCTTATCTATATCAAATATATGATGGTGGTTTACAAGCCGAGTTAAACCATGAAAGAGATATAAAATGAACTAAATCTATAAATGTGATTTGATTTGATTTAATTTGATTGAACTATTTTTACTATAATATATATTCTATACATGTTTCACAGTTAAATCGTTAAAAATATCTAAAAATATCCAAAATTTACGAGTAGTTTTAATTTTACTATAAATTTAACTTTCTTTTTCTAATATTCTGAATTTCAATTTTAATTATAATAGCACCTTAATTTCAAATTGTATCAAATTTAATAAACAAAATAATATTTTCGTTGGACACATGATCAACTTAACCAATAATTCATTATTTAACCACACCCTAATCAGTATTGGTTATGATTTTTTTTTTTAAATTCATAAAAGCTGGGAAAAATAATAAATTTTAGTTAGTTATAAGCATAGAATATTAGTTTATGTTTTTGTTTTGCTATTTTTTAAACATGAAATTTTAGTTAGAGTTAATTGAAATTATACTTGAGTTAAATTCCTCATAAAAATATGTTTTATTCATTGTGGCATAATTTTATTTTTAGGGAATCATTACTTATTGTCAATATTTTAGATTTATAAAAGGTGTGCCTAAAATTACCATATAATTTATTTGGGGAGAAAGTAAAAATACTGTTTTTATTTCTAAATCGTGGTTTACAATTAATGCTTCCACTTTGCCTACTATATCTAATTTAGTTTTATTTGCTGTGCTTAATTTTTCTTTAGTATCTAACCAATATCTTTTAGGTACTATATCTAATTTTATACCATTTAAATCTGCGCCTGTATCAAATAATGCTATTGCATCTATAAAGAAATCGTTTGCTATTTTAATGTTTATTTTTACCAAATATTTTCTTGAAGTAATTTCTTGTAATAAAAATAGAAAATTATTATTTACTTCTGGATTTTCTTCTAATTGATTTATTTCGTCTTTTATGTCATCATCTGGTTCTTCAGAAGAAGAACTAGATATGAGTTGTGATTCTAATAATTTTATTTTCTTAGCATTTTGTTGAGATTGTACTTTTAATTCATTAACTTCATGTTTTAGAATTTTAATTTCTTTTTGTAATTCTTTATTGGAGACTTCTACTTCTACTTTTTTATGTATATGTTTATTTAATATAGTGGTTAAATCATAAGTATTAGACTGGAGTTTAGGAGTTATTTCTTTTACTTCTTTTTCTTCTTCAAAACTTTTATTCATTTTTTAAGAAGTTGTGCTTTAGTTTCATTATCAGTTATATTGTTTACTACTTCTAAAAGTGTACTTTGATCTTTAGTAAGCATATTTATAGATTTTTCTTTTCATGGGGCTCCACTCCACTCTTTTCTCCTACTCGAACTGGTAAATTTTGTCGGTATAATTTGATGGTCTAATTATTGTCTCTGAATACTATATATTTCTCATTAAATGTTTTTTGCTCGGTTTCAGGTACGCTTTAGATTCTCGAAAAACCCTCGTCGTTTTCTCAAAGAGAATATCTGGTCTGAAGAGGCTTATGAGAATTAGGAGGTATGCATTAATTCTGCCTTTTGGCTTGTTTTTCGTAGTGGGAAGTTGAATGAAATGGTGGCTTTATTATGCTTATCTTATTTTTCTTGGATGGTCTGGTATATAGACAGCGTGAATTCAAAGGTGATGGGTAAGGTTTCGGAAAGACCACCTTTGAGGCGCTGGAAGGGATCGCCTTCGTCCTTCCAGTGCCTGATCATAATCCAAGGCCGCCTTATGTAGGGCAAATGTCTTACCAAGAGATTTCCAGCGCGACATCAGTTTTCATGATTCTGAAGGCACTTGTATAAAAATTGAAGGGCCTGTTCGCCTGTGAGCTTGCAGCTCCGCGTTTTGGACTTTGCAAGGAAAAATGGTAGTATGATCTGCTATATCATTCAGTTTTCTTCCAATATTGTAAGTTTTTCAGTTTTTTGTCCTTTTTGACATTTCTGCGGTTTTCTTTCCCGTATTGCAGGCCCGGAATTGTAGTTCTTATAGAAAGTTTCTGATTTGGAATGGTAGCTTAACTCTGTTATGCGTTCATTAGTTTTTCAACATTGAGTTTGTTCGAGTTCCTAACTTCCTATCAGGAATGAGAGTGTAAATAATAAACCATAATAATATAGCTTTTAGTATGTGTTAAGCTTAAAGATCACTAATCATTAAAAATTTGATCCTCAGCTGTTTGAACTTCAGAGGAGGTGTCGCCCTCTCAATTCATGCCTGACGCTCTTTTACCTTCTTGTTTTGCTTTTCTTCTCATTCTCGCTGTATTTTATTGTTTATTGGGTGCCTGGGCACCCTGATAGACGGCATCGGGCCTACCACATTGCCTGATAATCCCAGTTGCCATTGAACTGTAGCCCTTACATATTCCACTTACTGCCTACGCTGTCACTTTGAGAAGATCCAGATTGGTTGTGCAAATTAAGCATGGACTTCTCTGTACAGCACATGATTCAAATTAACTGAGTCCAAGCTTGTGGTTTTTTTTTTTTTTTTTTTTTCATTTATTTATTTATTTGGTGCTTGCACCTGATTATGGATGGCTACCATTTCTGATTCCATTGCTTGAATTGCTTATTACTTTGCACCAGTCACTTTGAGAAGACAATTGTTTGCAAATTAATGGATCTTTGAATTTAATTAATGAGTCAAGCTGGAATAACGAAACTTAATGTCAAACAAAGTCTTTACAATCATTGACCGTTAACCATTCATTAATTGTTGCATAATTTTTTATATTTTTGTAAATAAATGATGCTTTTTGCGACATTGATATGTAAAATTCTGTATTTTATTATTGCTTCTTGGCAAAATTTTGCCCCAAAAGTGCCTTTAAACTGAATTTTTGACATGATTGGTTGAAGAATATTGATTCTTTTGTAACATGGGTTGGCTGTCACAACTAATTTAAGGCTGGAAAGTATTTTAAGTTTTATCCTAGTAGCCTTAAACACATTGGATATCTCATAATTTTTTTAGTGAAACTGATAGTGTTCCCTCTTTATGTTCTCAAGGTAGAAAAGAACAGTAATGGCAGATTAGCAGATTAAGCTATGGCCTTTCCCTCCTCCTCCTCTAATATTTCTTCAGACGTGTTTATTTCTTGATCGTTTTGAGATAGTACCTTACTCATGTGTCCTGGTTTATTATTGTAGTCTGTTTACTCTTACTTTCAATTTGATACCAAGAACTTGGTAAGATTTTGTTTTCTGATATCACATTTAGTTGTTTCCATATGCTATTAGCCATCGGTGACGACGAATGAGATTGACAAAGCAGTGCACCAAATGATCATCGAGGCTGGTGCTTATCCTTCACCTCTGGGATATGGAGGATTCCCCAAGAGTGTGTGCACATCCGTTAATGAGTGCATGTGTCATGGCATACCTGATTCCCGACAGCTACAGGTCTGCCCATCACTGCTTTGTGTGACATGCATGTGCATGATCTCTAACAATTGTCTCTTGTGCAGGATGGCGACATAATAAACATTGATGTGACGGTCTATTTAAATGTATGTTCCCGATCCATCAGCTCTGTTATATATATGGTTCATTAGTTTCCCTAACTAAATTTTTCTGGATATCTAAAAAACGGAGTGTTAATGGCCTTAAATGCTACCATGCCATCTTTTTTTGTTGGTTTTATTTGTCTGTCTACTTTTGTGCTATGCCTCGGGTTTTGATAAATTTATGATACTGTGTATAGTGACAGTGTAGCCTTTATGCTTTGGCCATATGATTGATTTATTTTGGAACTCTGCAATTCTGCACCATCTGGTTATGTTCTTGTATGCCTTTAAGTGCAACAACTTGATGCAGGGCTTTTAGTATTCTAGGAGATAAAATGTTGCAGATATCAAGGGAATTCCACATAAGAGTTAGATTAATATTAATGTTTTTTGACAAATGACAAATTACTGTTCACAGCAGCAAGGATTGTATTAATAAGCAGGAGTATTCCAGTACCTTCTTAGATTTTCTGGGTGGTTAGTAAGCATATACTTTGTTACTGCATATGCTGTTTCACTATATATAGGCATAGTGTATTAAAATGTTTTATGTAAGTAACCCCAGCAAATTTGAGATTGAGTCTCTGTTTAGCTGCGTTAAATAAAGTGCAATTATCAAATGAACACACACTGTATATCATGAAATATAGCCTTTCAGTTTTCTGCTTTAGCTGTGCAGCAACATATGAAAAATGAATAGCTGATTTCTCTATATCCTATGTGCTTCCTGTCGCTTCTTAGGGATATCATGGTGACACATCAAGGACATTTCTGTGTGGGAATGTTAGCAATGCTCTTCAACGTCTTGTAAAGGTTAGTCTTTAGTATGAATAAGAATAGCAACTAATTTACTTTTGTTTATCATTTTCTTGTAATTATTTAATTCTCTTGTAAATATTTAGAAGTGGTGCAAGGGAACGGTGCCCTATATTCTTTTCCTCAAAAATTTTAATATTATGTATGCTTCAGGAATAATATGATAATTATTCAAGTCTTGCTTCTCTGTTTACTGGAATTTTTATGTAGACTTCTGGCCTCATGATTACCCCTTATGGCAGGTGACTGAAGAGTGCATGGAGAAAGGGATAGCTGTTTGCAAGGACGGTGCTAGTTTCAAGAAAATTGGAAAGAGAATTAGGTACTGCTACTCTTTTCATGTTGCCTTGGATTGGGAAGTGTATCAGAATCTTGTCATCTCTTCTCCAAATTTTTTTTTTTTTTTTTTTTAAAATTGGAAAGAGAATTAGGTACTTAGCTACTTTTTCATGTGCCTTGGATTGGGAAGTGCCGTCATCAGAATTTCTTGTCATCTCTTTCTCCAAATTTTATTTTTTTTTTTTTTTTTTTTTTTGGGGGGGTGGGGGTGGGGTGGAGGTTGAGTTGGCATCTCCTAATAGTTGAAGTTTCCATCTCCTTTTAAGGTTGTTAGATTTATGAATTTTTAGGATCTGATTTAACTATCATACTGTAGTGGGTCCTTTTTTACAGTTACGCAAATTGAATAAATTATACAGTAAACTTAAATGAGAGAGGTCAGGTCTTTATGCTCTTGTATAGCTAGCAGTAGATTAGAAGTCAACATTAATGTGTATCACTAGGATGTCTATCAGGAGATATCTGCATTACTTGGAAAACTTGAGGCTAATTAATTTTTCAAAGAGCGCTTATAATTATCTCATGTTAACGTACCTAGTGAAATCAGAGGAATGATATTACAATAAATTCACTCATGAAGAACCGGCATCTCCTTTTAGAGGCCAGGATATATTTATTTAATTTCATGTTCTTTTCCTAGATAAATTCTGCAAATCAAGCTTTAGCTTCAGAAGATCATGGCCAAGTTCTTGCACCTTAAACTAGTTAGCTTGATTTTATTTCTGAACATTACAACTGGTTTATCATCTCAGTGAGCATGCTGAAAAATATGGTTATGGTGTGGTGGAGCGTTTTGTTGGGCATGGTGTGGGGGCTGTGTTTCATTCCGAACCATTAATATTGCATCACCGTAAGTAATACTCTATACCATTTACTATTGCTATCCACCGTTAAGTAATACTCTATATATATATATATATATATGATATATATATTCAACATTTTCTTGATGGTAAAAGGGGCTTGATATAATTTAGAACCTAATCAAGATGCTTCCCAATGTGTGGAAAGTTGCCACCTTCGTGATAACCATCATTCTCAGAGGGGACCAAACACCAGGAATCCTTTGGGACCTCTTCACCTATGGCATCTTCCTTGACTTTAAAATTTCTGTTTGAGATGTTTGGGTCCCAAAATCAACATTTTGGAAAAACTCATAAATTTCTTTATAAAATCAGGGAGCCTTCCAATTTCCATGCCCATTTAAAGCCAAGTCTAGAAAAACCTTTTTTGCTTTTGATTTTTTCTTGTTGCGTAAGCCAATTAAATCTCCAAAACTTTCTGCTTTCCTATTACTCTCATCTCTGTACTCTTCTACCCATCCTCCTCGCATTGGAGAGAGGAAATGTGCCTTTTACTCACAAATTCTTTTGCTAATGTAAGGTTTGCCCTGTTAAGTTTGATGCTGGAATATCATATCTGACTGAATAATCTATGAATGGACTGGATTTTTACTTGTCTGCAAAAACCTTACCCATTTATGGTTGCTGAGTATGTTATTTTGATATAGCCTACTGCATATTGCTATTTAATATTAGATTTCTTTCATTGTGGACAGCCAAATGGCATAAATCACCCCATTTTTGCAAAAAAAACACCTTGTCTCGCAACTTTTCAACTTTTTTAGTTTGACCCCATTTGAACCACATTTAAGCTTGATAAAAATTGCGATTTACTAAAGATACTTCAACAACTGCAAAAAAAAATCATTTCTAGTTGATATGCTCCAAACTTTGTTAAAAAATTAAGATCGGGCAAACTAAACACTTATTGGAAGTGCAAACATTGGGAAAAGTTGAAAAAACAATTGTAACTAACCTACACCATCCCAAATTTAATATTTTCGCAACATATAAACAAACAAAACAATTCCAACAGGCTTTTCAGTCCTTCAAATTAGAATCGAGAATCGGCTATATGAATCCTTTGATATTTTCATTTTCTGATGTGTAAAGGCTGATATATATTTAGAACCTTATAGATGCTTCAATGTGTTTGAAGTGCACCATTCTTTGAACCATGCAGAGGACAATACCAGGAGTCTTTTGACCTTCTTCACCTAGCATCTCTTGGACTAATTTCTGTTAGATGTTGGGTCAAAATCAACATTTGAACTCATATCTATTAAATCGAGCCTCAATTCCAGCCATTTAAGCCAAGTCTAGAAACCTTTTTGCTTTTATTTTTTCTTGTTGCTAAGCCATTTAAATCTCCAACTTCTGCTTTTTCTTTCTCTCTCTCTGTCTCTCTTCCCTATCTCTCGCATTTGGAGAATGTGCCTTTTACTCACAAATTGCTTTTTGCTAATTGTAGTTTCCTGTTTAAGTTGATGCTGAATCATCTTCTGATAATCTATGAATGGACTGGATTTTACTTGTCTGCAAACCTTCCCATTTATGGTTGCTGATAGTTATTTTGATATGCTACTGCATATTGCTATTATATTGATTTCTTTCATTTGTGGTACAGGCCAAATGCATAAATTCACCCCATTTTTGCAAAAACCTTGTGCACTTTCAACTTTTTATTTGACCCATTGAACACATTAGCTTATAAAATTGCATTTACTAAAGACTTCAACTTGCAAAATCATTCTATTGAATGCTCCAACTTGTAAAATTAGATCGACTAAACACTTAATGGATAGTTGAACATTGTGAAGATATTGTTTGAAAAATTGTACTAACTACACATCAAATTAATATTTTGCATACATAATAACAACAACAATCAAGCTTTAGTCTCAAATTAGTTGGGATCGGCTATATGAATCCTTTGTTTCGAATATCTGTTCTGATCAGGTTAATATCAATGCAAAGCAACGTATAAGTAAAAAAAACAAAAAAATAAAATAAAATACTTTTTGTAAACGAATTTTAAAATCATTTGATATATTAATAAATATAACAAAGTATAAAATAAGCAACACCAATTGACAAGGATCTAGTACATGTATCTTTTACCTCCATCTTATTATGTTCATAGCTATATCCTCAGTAATACTTGAAAACAATAGATTCTTAGTGACAACTTCACTCCAAACAATTCTAAGTTGACCTCTTCTCTTTTTAGCACCCTTCACTACTAAAGTATCACATTTGTGAATCGAGATGTATAGGGGTTTACAAAATATATGACCATACCATCTCAAACGTGCTTGTCTTTTTCTTTTGTATATAAAAGCTAAAAATCATAAAAAAATGTATTTATAATGCGAAGAATTATATGATATTATCAAAATTCATAACTCTAGCGGCACATTAGGTTCCTCTCAAAATTTAGGGTGTGACAAAGTTTTTCAAGAAAAGCGCATGAGTGAATTTATGTATTTGGCCTTAGTTATTTTGTTGCTGTACTGCATTCTACTATATTTATTGTCATCGTAGAACTCTTTCATTTGTGGTCATTCATTTTCTGTCAGGAAATGAAATGCCTGGTACAATGGTTGAAGGTCAAACATTTACTATTGGTGAGTTTATTTCTTTCTTTTCCTCTTCCTTTAAATAGATTACCAACTACTATATCAGTTTTGTCTGCCCACTCTGGCTTAAAATATGCTTATGATGTCCAAAATTCGTTATACATTTAATTAATCCATATTTTGTATACCTCTCCTTTTTACCACTTGGTAAAAGAGCATGCTGAAGATGGAGCGTGTTGAATGTCAGCATTTTGCAATTGAAAATGGAACTTGCACATCACATTTAGCATACCTGGTGTGGAAATGCTGGTGGTGGATTCATTTATAGCTTCTCTTAATTTTTCTTTTGCGTCTTCTACAGAAAATTTCTTATTATGTTTCGTTAATTAGATTATTCTAAGAGCATCCGACCCACAAGTTGGAAGTTAATAGAGAATGGGTTCCATGCATTATGCAGTTCATCGCATTAAATTGTAAAAGCATTCAACTTAAAAAGTATAAGCTAATAGGTGGAAAGGCGTCAGCAACATTTTAAGTCCGTAGCGCATTTCATTCATAACTAACATAGCATTGCCCGCTGATATGCTCTTTTAGTGTGTAGTCCTGATGGAACAAATACTAACATTCTTGATAAAAATACAAACAAAAAACAGGCTAACATGGGGGACAAGCAACAGCTTCCAGATCTGATATTAAGTTAGAGCATCTAATCTAATAGGTTGAGAGGTAGTTAGTGGATAGGCCACAAAATATACATTTTTAATAAGTTAGAGCATTTCCAGATTGAAAGTTCAAACGAAAAAAACATCATGTAGAACATGTGCATAATCTGGCAACAGTTATTCTTGTTATCTGTTAATTGAAATGAAAGATTGGAGAACTACAATTTGTACTGGTTCGGGTTTGCACTTACCCATTCTCACTTTTTCACCCTCCAACTGGATGTGTGTGAAATATTATTAAAGATGGCATTCAAACTTTCCTAGTGCTGAACCATTTTGTTTTGTGTCAATCAAAGGATCTTAGCCTATTTATTAACTAGCAATGCAGCTGTCAAATTATGACTGTCCTTTTCATTATCACTTCAAAGTTGTTTGTCAGCTGAAAGTAGACTATATTTGTATCTTTTGCTTTTTGGTAACATGATGATCTTATATAGTGCTCTAAATTATTTTATTTTGTCTTTTATACTGGATCATTACATTTTAACCTTTTCACTACAGAACCAATTCTTACAATGGGAAGTACCGAGTGTCTAACATGGCCTGACAACTGGACAACTTTGACAGCAGATGGCAGCCCTGCTGCACAGTTTGAGCATACCATTTTAATCACCAGAACTGGTGCAGAAATATTAACCAAATCATAATTACTATTTTTTTTTTTGTCTCAATTATCTTTTCATATATATTATGCATTTTTGGTAAAGGTAGAAATCCATTTCTGAGTATGTATCCCTATGCATAGATAATTTTCTGACATGTTAATTTGTACCGTGTAAACTCTGGGTACAAAGTGCACCTGTGGGTTTATTGAATGATTCTCCACGTATGACATCCTCTAATGCTTTTAATATGAAGCTATGCGGATCTCTCTTGGAAAGCCTGATTGCTTGGTAGGCTTGCAGGTTTATACTTACAATAATGGAAGAAATCCATTCTGAAGTCCAATCTATTGTGGTTGATCGCTGTGGTTTTTGGCATGTGAGACTTGTTTGCATTCCTCACTCCTTTGTGATTGGGTGCAAGGTTTCTGGAGACCACAGCATGCAAGAATTTCTTCCATTAGCCACGCCGATATATGTGAATGGTTTGAGAGTATTCCAACAACTACAAGGATTCTGATTTTGCTCTGTTTCTTATCCAAGTGTGGAGCGTTTGAAACAGAGGAATGTCAGAATGTTTTGTAAAGAGTCGCCATCTCCCTTGTGCTTATTAAACGGGGTTAAGATTATTTAGTGGCGTTTTTTAGCATTAAAGACAGAAGCTACTAATATTTTTGTAACTCGGTGGTCAGCCCCGGAGGTTTAGTTTAAGATTAATGTAAACACGGGTTTATGTTGTCACTGGTGTGAGTTCTGGTGTTGTGATTAGAGACTTAGATGGGCAGCGTTTACCTAACTTGTATCTTTGATGTAGAAACGGCTGAAGCTGTAGGTATTCTCTGTGGACTGTGTGTGACGGGCATTAATTGAATTTTCTTGTTTCTATTTATTCTCTCTTTGTTATATATTTCCCTGAATAGTCATTATTCATGTCCTTGCATTGCATGTAATTGTAGCTTTACAGGTTATTATTGTTTCCTACGGAGTAATGACATTTCAGTTTTTCATATGCTATCATGTTAGGCAGTTTTATGACACTACAGAAGAAAGGTTTGATGGTGAATTTTAGTTGTTTTAACAGCCATTAACTTAACTGTTGTGGTATCTATTAGCTGATTGCCAAAAAAATTTGATTAAATTTAAAAGCTAAAACGATTCATAAAAAGTTTCTTCAATTTCTTAAAGCTACATTTTTACTGAATGCTACGCTGTAATTAATAGAAATAGAGTTTTGATTTTGTCCAAATATCCATATTTCTTGTGGCCTCTGGGATTGACTACATTGAACAGGAAGGATAAGTTAGGCTATTTAGTATTATTATTATTATTTAATCGTGCCTGTAAAGTCCATGCTTAGCATTGTCTAATAATATCTCATTCTGGCATAAGAATAGTCTCGTCTCTGGTGGTTTCCTCGTGCAATGTTGATGTGCATATTTAATTCTCATACCATAATTTATTTAGACAAATCCAGCACGTGGTAGTGACAACCTATTTGTTATTTGCAGAATATGGCCAGTAGCACATTCCATGAAACTCCTAACGTTTGAATATCGTCTTAATCTTTAATCTTTGCTCTCGTTTCGTATCTCTCTTTTTCTTTTCCTTTCCTTTTTTTATTTTTTTTTAGAATTTTATTCGAATCTGTTAGTTGTTCGTAAAGAAAAAACTCTTGCCTTATGGAACTCATGCACAATAGTTATAAAATAGAAAACGTAATATGTAAGATTATATTATGGTAATATGGGTTGCTGAAGTGATAAAATATGTTTGAATTTGCAGACCATTTTTATAAAATAAAAATCAGATGAGTGTTTCTCACGGCATTTAAGTTTCTTTTTAACTTTTAAAATCAATTATACAAAATATGATACATGTACACATAAAAACATATTATTATATAACAATTTAAACATATAATTATTTACAAATGAATTTCTCTCTTCTATATCGTACGTATTAATAAAAACAAATATACACTAATTTTGTAAGTACGGTTTTATATTTGAACATATTTGATTATAAATAAGAAAACGTAGTCCTATCATATAATGCAATGTAATATTCTAGTAACAATAATAAGAAGTTTAAGATGCAAAATGTAAAAAGCCAAAAATATATAAATTACATCAGAAATTCATAGGATTCTCTTAATTAGTTCAGCAATGTAGCATTTTGTAAAAAAAAGTAATCATATAATTTAGCTTTTAGCGATTTTGAAAAACTACTAAAGCAGCTAAATTCTTCTCAAACATCTAACATTTATTAAAATAGATAATAACTAACATTTATTAAAACAAATAATTTTACCAAACAGACTTTTAGTAGCGTTTAGCTGTTAATTGTTTGAGTGACTTTTTATAAAAAAAAGTAATCCATATAACATTTAGTTTTTCGCATTTTATGAAAAACTACTCAAATAGTTAAATACTGCTCAAATAATTAGCATCTACTAAAATAGATAATTTTGCCAAACAAACCATTAATAGTGTTTAGCTGTTAACTGTTTGAGTGACTTTTAAATTATAAACCACTATCTTAACTGTTTGAATGACTTTTAATTATAAACCATTGTCTTAACATCTAAAATTAGTTCAAAAGTTAGGTTACTGAACACAAAAAAAATAACATTTAACATTTTAATTAGTTAAAATCGTAAAAGCTACTTAAAAAATTATTGGATAATACCACCAAATTTGCATTTCTAGAAGAGTACGAGAGTCCTTGGAAATTTTACATATGCAAACAATTCTCTGTGAACAACTTTGAACTTTCAAGTCAACTTAATCTTTAAAACACAATTCATTCTTCAAGAAACTGCTTCAACAATCACATGTTAAATTATAGATATAAATATGCGCACCAACTGGATAGTTGTGAATATTCAAGCGTTTTACAATATTTGATCCAGTCTGCCAAGATATAGCAATGGCATTTACAAGCTCTCTTACGGCAATTTCTTCTTTCAAACTCACTAACCCGACATCCCACTTCTTGCCTTCTGATCGGTCCCTGAAACAACAGGGTCTTTTCCACCAACAAAATCAATCTCTGTCAACTCAAAACTTCAAATTCTCCATTCCACAACATTTCTCGACAAGAAGATGCAGCCCCAAAAGCATTGTCACCACAGCTTTCTTCTCCAAGCTCTGCTCAGAATCTCCAAAGAGAAAGCCAGCAGGTAATTAATTTACTATATACCATTAAATTTCCTTTCTTTTTTATTCACTAATCTACCCCTTTTTCTTGCTACAGGGAAAGTTCAACAACTTAATGTATATGAAATAAACGAGCGAGACAGAGACAGCCCAGCAATCCTAAAACTAAGTAAAAAACCAGAATTAGCACTTGGAGATTTAGTGCCCTTCACCAACAAGCTTTACTCTGGAGACTTACAGAAACGGTTCGGTATAACTGCTGGTCTCTGTGTTCTTATCCAACACGTACCGGAAAAGAATGGCGACAGATATGAAGCAAACTACAGCTTCTATTTCGGTGATTATGGCCATATATCCGTACAAGGAGCTTATTTAACCTATCAAGATACCTTTTTGGCTGTGACCGGTGGATCTGGAATTTTTGAAGGAGTGTACGGTCAAGTGAAGTTGCAACAAATTGTTTTTCCTTACAAGCTTTTTTACACTTTTTATTTGAAGGGGATTCCTGATTTACCGGCTGAGCTTCTGGGAAAGCCGGTCACTCCTTCGCCGGAGGTTGAACCGAGCCCGGCTGCCAAGGCTGCTCAACCTAATGCCACTATCCTTAACTTCACCCAATGATGTTGTTTGGTTTACTAATTTGATTGGGGTTTCAACTTGTTTTGAGTTGTTAGTATTGTGTTTTTCTCATTTATTTTGAATTTTCTCAAAAATTCCCAAAGTACATTTAGCAGTACTGATTAATGTTCATGAAAAATTTGACACGAACAATTACTTTGACTTGATCATATCTTTTTGGTCGTGTTGGAGAAATTTATTATCTACAATAATATATCATATAAGTTCTACGAGCTATTCACATTCAAAAACTTTCACCACTAATGGTGGAAAAATCACACAGCTCCATTAGAACAAATATCAGTTGAAAGACTATTCCAAACTATTAGACCAACCCTAAAACAAGCTATTTTAGCTAAGGCATCTTGCCTATTCACATTAGCATCAACAAAAAGCTTCTTACAGTAATCCAAATTCACATTTCTTTTTCGTCTTTAATTAATGAAAGTTGTGAGTATGTTTATTGACCGATGCGAAAGCACTTTCTTATGGCACCAAACCGCAAATCATTATTCTCAACTCTTTAAGTTTAGGGTTGTCTCTGTTTTCCTCATGTACTAATCATAAATTCTGGTAGCGTTTTCATATTCAGACACAGTGTTAAAGTGCACTGAGTGGGAAATTCTCATATGACAAGCCCTTTTTTTGTCCTTCTCTTCATTTCTTCCCCTGTCAATTCTCTATCATCACTCATCTCTTCCACAGCCGTTATCTTTTATCTTGTTACTTCTTACACAAAGCAATATTTTTAAAACTGGACCCTTTATTAATTAAATTGGTTTCAAAACTTTATCACGGTTCCGTCCAATCAACTTAATTTAATCGGGTTTTCTCATTTCTTATTTTTATAATTATTCATAAAAATAAATCAGCTACTTCATATAGCCTCTTTAGATACCTAGGAGCAAATGTTTTGGTTTCTCGAAATTTAATCCAAATTGAACCAATTTTATTCAAATAATTTTTTTTAATATTACAGTTCAATTTAGTTTTGGTAAAAATTGTCTATATATATATATATATATATATTCAGACACCAGTTGTTTAAAGTAGCACTTTAGGGTGGGAAAATTTCTTTCACTATGGACCAAAAAAGCCCTTTTTTTTTGTGCCTTTCTCTTCAATTTTCTTCCCCTGTCAATTTCTCTATCATCAACTCATCCCTTCCCACAGCCGTATCTTTTATCTTTGTTACTCTTACCACAAAAAAGCAAATATTTTCTAAATACCCTTTATTAAATTAAAATTGGTTTCAAAAACTTTATTCACGGTTCCGTCCAATCAACTCTTAAATTTAAAATCGGGTTTTCTTCAATTTTCTTATTTTTTATTTAATTATTCCATAAAAAATAAATCAAAGGCTAAACTTCATATAGCCATCGTTTAATAACCTAAGGAGAAATGTTTTGGTTTCGTCGAAAATTTTAATTCCAAAATTGAACCCAATTTTATTCAAATAATTTCTTTTTTAATATTTAACAGTTCCAATTTAGTTTTGGTAAAAAATTGTCTATATAATAATATAATATATATATATATATATATAGACAATTTTGAATTTTTTTGCATTGATGATTTCAATTAAGTTTACAAAAATTCAAACCGAATTGATTGAATTGACCATTTGTTGTGCCCTTTACCATCCATGTTTTAATGTTTTTTATATTTAAAATGTCTAAAAGAGAAAATTTTAATTGCAAATATAACATAAGTATTCATTTATGATTGAATATTATGGTTTGAAGCTCACTAATGAAACATTGAAATTTTATTTTGAAAATCCCTTCTTAGTTATAGATTGGAAAAAATTGTATCTTTTCAGGCAATGAAAAACAAAGGGAGCACAAGCCAATTTATAAAAAAGTAAATAGCAATTTGCAAACCAGCTCCCAAAGCAGAGGACCAAATTATTATTTTTTTCTCTCTCTCTCTTTATGGCGGACTTGATTGGCAGGATCACGTTTCCATGTACTTGCATTTCCCTGCTTCTCTTTTATCTTATGTCTTCACTTTATAAGTACACTCTTTGATGCCTTTATTAATATCTAATTTTTTCTTTTTTTTTTATAGTCAGGAGTTTAATCCCCTCGGGCCATACAACGTAATATTTTTTATCCTTCCAGTAAAGTACGCTTTTCGGAAATTAAATTTATATTCTCATTTTTGTAGGGATTGAAGTCACTCGATATCCTTACACCTAACACCTTGTTGGTATTAATATCTATTTCTTTTTTTTTTTTTTTTGTTATCAGTAAATTTTTATTTTATTTTATAATAATTCGAGAAAAAAATTTAATAAACATTAACAGCTAAAACCAGACCAATAGACCCATACATCCAATCTAGCCAAATAATGTTAAACTAAAAAAACCTGGACTGAAGTACATTAAATCTAAAGGAATTGATAAGAAGAAAAATTTTTGAGTTAAGAAACATAAACTTTGGTATAAGATTACAAAACCATCTAACACAATCCTTCTTAACAAAAACATCTCCACAAGCCTTCTTAACAAACCAAAACTCAATAAAAAATCGAAGCAGTAAACAATTAAATTAGTATCTAGTAATTTAATGTCAACTAAGTGTGGCTTCATTAATATTATCATTTATGCAAATAGTGCAGTTTGAGACCTCTCGATCATAGAAATTTTTATATTTTTATCAATTTAGTGAATGAAAAGAAGGTTACTCATATTGTATATAAAACTTAATTAGATTAATGTTGGTATTTATAAGAAACATCTATAATATATAATTTTATAAGAAAACATCGTATAATATACTATATATATATATATATATATAATTATATATAATATAATTATATTTATTTATATATATTTAGTATATAATTTTTCTTTACTGTTTTATTGGTTACAAGTTACAAGAACAATCATGGAAGTAATTTTCTTTTTACCCGCCTTGCTCCTTGTTGAATACTTTTTCTTTTTTTTTTATACCGCCAACAAGGGTAAAATGTTTATTTACTTCAAATATTGAATAATTAGTAAGTGTTATTCAAATGGAAGTGTTACTACTCTGCTATAATTTATGATATTATTCTAATTCATTTGGCTTTCAGTAAAACTCTAGAAAATACATTTTAGTTGATAAATAATCAGGAGAAGCTTCAAGTTCAAATTCTGGGAACATTAGGGTTTTGCTTTTCAGCTAGGAGATGAATAGAAAGAAACAAAACATGTGTTGGTCCATTGGGTTCACAGGCTCCTATCTTTCGGTCCTTCAATTGGACGTACACATGAAATCTCTGCGCTTTGTCAATCAGTGTGGCTGTGTTAGTGCATTTTTAGCAAACCTAGCATATGTATATGTCTATATATATTCTATTAGATATATTAATTAATATATAATAGCAAGGGATCTATATATATATCGGGTGAAAGTTACTAGTGGAGGTTTGGGGATTACGTTAATAATGGGATTTTGAACTCACTTTAGTCCATATATTGTGAAAGTTACTAGTAGGTTGGATTCGTTAATAAGTGGGATTTTGACTCACTTTAGCCTCATAAATTCCATTTAAAAATCCTTAATTTAATGGAAGAAAGAAGCATTTCTAATTTATTGTTTTTAGAAGAGAATAAATCCCTTGTATTCTATCCTTTGAATGTTTGTGTTTATGTATGTGTATACTGTATGCACATACAAGATAATCCATTGTGTGTGTGTGTGTGTGTGTGTGTGTATAGGTGGAGCTAGCTGAAGCTACATTTGACATTTATACAGCAAAAACCTTATTTTTAGAATTGGTCTAGCTCAAGAAATAAATAAATGGGATGAATGAAATATTCAATTTATACTTAATTTGCTATCCTTTTAAATTTTGCAAAATTTAAACAAAATAAATATTTTAGACCAAAAATATCTAACAATCAAATTCATTTTTATTACTTTGGTAAATCTAATAATCCATAAGTACATAATATCATGAGAATAAATTGCAGGTACTACCAGCTGGTAAAGCTCTTTCGCTAAGTAAAAAAGAAAATGGGTTTGGACAATCGATCCATGCATGCATGGAGATGGAAGCACAGATTTTAAAGAGATACGGAAAAAGGCATAATTGAGACATAAAAAGAAAAAGATGATAACAAAAGCCATACAAAGAAAGGCTGATGATGATGACGATGCTGGATAATAATAACAGTATATAGAGAGAAAGTAAATGAATATAGCTATGATCTAGCTGAGCCTGAGCATGAATTTCCAAATTATTATTATTATTGTTATTATTATTGTTGTTGTTGTTATTATTATTATTATTATTAGGGTTAAAAAGTTGCAGTAACAGAGAGACTGAAAAAATTATGTCGTAGTATCTGTTTGTAGTTGTTCTGAAAAGGAAAAAGGAAGCTCTTTGGGTGAAACCCCAAAAACAGTAAAAATGATCAGTGGTCCCTCTTCATCTGACAAAAGAGACTCGATCAAAGTGTTAGTAGTGTTAGTCGAAACTCAGAAACACTCAGACCTTAGCTTAGTCCATGTATACATTACCTCTCTCTCTCTCTCTCTCTCTCTCTCTCTCTCTCTCTTTCTCTCTCTGTTTTATCTATGGCTGTGAACAGTTCAATCTGTGACTCAACTGTTCATGTCTTCATGTCTGCTCTTATCTGCACTCACTGCTGACTTACTTGACCACCTTCTATAATTATTATCCCTCTCTTTTTCTTTCCTATATTTATTACATTTCTAAAAGAAAAAAAAATTAAAAAAAAATCTTTTTCCACTAATCTGGCTGAAATCTTAGAATTTTGCAAAGAATTCCAATATTGGTCACCTAGTCAACACTTATTGATAAAATAATTTTAAAAAATCTTTTCACTTGGATTGAGGGGTAAATGATGATTTAGATTTTTTTTAGAAGATTGGACACATATTTAACTTTGTTACACTTTTAATTTTCAGGGGAGTTTCATCTTTTATTGGCTATTTGTATTGGTTGTAATCTGAATAATAAAATTTTAAGATTGATTTTTAAAAAATTTGTTTAACAATAAAATGACATTATTAATCGATTTTGCATGTAATTAATTATATTAAATTTGTCTTTTTGATTTAAATAAAGAAGCATTTACTACAAATGAAAAGGGTGAAAAAACTATCCTCAAAAAAAAAAGAATATCTTTAATAGATAATAATCGAGACAAGCACTTCCAAGATTGAATGCATAGAGCCCTGGCTTTCACTATACTGTTTGTTTGTCTTCAACCTCTCTCTCCCTTTCTCTCTCTCACATACACATAACATAGGAGTAGTTACTGCCATTTCATAGTCCCATTCACTACTTAAACATCCAGGTGTGAACATCTTTTTGTTAAAACATAAATGGACCATCTCCATTATCATCATCAATATCATCATAATCATCATCTTCATCTTCTTCTTCATCATCTACCTCGCATATTTTTACAGTATGTGGAGTATGTCCATCTCCAAAAGCACGTACGTGGTCTTTAAGTGACCTTTTATGTTTAAAGTCAGACCCACAAATACAAAACCAAAGCTTACCACAGTTCTTCTCGTGTGTTCTCCAATCTCCTCTAACTGCAAAAGTTTTTCCACATTTTCTGCATCCAAAAGGCTTTGCACCGTGTTTTCGCTTGTAATGTGTTTGCAGAGTTCTAAAATCCTTCAATGGCCTTGATCTTGGATGGTCAATGTTGTTCTTGCATCCTTCAGCACAGCAATAACAAGGAAGTCTTAACATTGAAGAAGCTGCCTTTGTTCCTCTTAAAGACTCAGGCCCTTTTCGATATTGCGATCCATGTCCCCACATATGCATCTAATTAATTAAACATGGACACAAACATAAGAAAAAACACAGTAATTAAATGGAAAATGTGTTTTGATACTATGAAACAGATACTCGACTACTGCTTTAACTTAATTTAACGGTAATTAAAATAATTAATATGTTGCAGTGAATTAATTACCTGCATGTTATTGTACCTATTGAATGTTTTATTACAGACAGAGCAAGAGAACTGTGTAGGACCGACGAGGATTTGAGCAGGAGAAGGAATCCAGTACTGGCCTTCAACGAGAGAAGAAACGTGATTAGGGTTTGAAGAGGTAGTTTGGGTAGTAGCTGATGGAGGACCAATATGGAGAGCGACAGTTACAGCATTTTCATGAGAATTAGGGTTTTGCTTATCAATAGTATTTCGTGGCTTGTTTAAGGAATTGGGATGTTTAGAGATGTGTTGGCCAGGAGGTCCAAGGGAAAGAAAGAGGGAATCTTCATCTTCTTGGTCATCAGCTTCTATACAAACACTTCCACTTGAGGATATGTAGTTGAAAGAGGGATTTTGCATGGTGGTGGTGAACGATTATATGAAACACAGAGAGAGAGAGAGAGAGAGAGAGACAGACAGACTGAGCTCGAGAGATAGGGTTTATGGGTTTTGGTGGAGAAGATGATCAAGTGGGGAGAGAAAGGGCTAATATATATGCGGGTATTTGGGTTTCGTGTTGTAGGTTAATTTTGCATAAGGGAACGAGTAAATTCTTACCAGAATGAATTTTTTACTCATCTTGATTCCCTTGGGGTGTATATGAATTTTATAATCTTGAAGAAGGAAAACAATTTCACTACTTTCAAATTAAACTTCATTGACAAATGTTAGGACTCGACCTAGCTCGAGGGATCACCATATGAGAAAATAAAAGAGGAAATTAATTAATGAATTTTTATGAAATTTTTAAGTCCTAAATCACTACTAAAGTTCCTTTTGAGGACCTAAAATTCTGCATTATTAAACTAGATATGGAGTCATATGCACAATCATCACATGAATTTTTTTTTTTTAGTATCAAGTATGAGATTTAGGATTCGAATCTAGATCTATTGACAGATCGTATACATCTTACCACTGAGTTATACCTTGGTATGCATCATTATATGATTTTTCATTCTTTTTTAATCTAGTGTTGCCTAAAGGAATTGAATTCAAGACATCATAATTATTGAGACAAATACAATATCACCAAGTTAAAATTTTATTAATTTATAAACCATTTTTCTCTTAATTAACCATACATATAAAATGTGGTTTTAATGGCATTCTCAAAAAAAAAAAAAAAAAAAAAAAACAGATATCACCTAGTTTAAAATTTATTAATTTTATAAAACCATTTTTGCTCTTTAATTAACCCATACATATTAAAATGTGGTTTTAATGGCATGTCTCAAAAAAAAAAAAAAAAAAAAAAAAAACGTATAGATAGTAATGGTGTCTCAAATTGAATGGAAATTTTAGCAAGAAATAATTAATTTTCCTAATTTGATTGAGAAGAGATAAGTCCAGCGATAAAAAAAAAAAAAAAAAAAAAAAAACGTTAATAGATGGTGGTCTCAATTGATGGAATTTTGAGCAAAATAATTAATTTCCATAATTTGATTGAGAAAGAATAAGTCACGATCTGTGAAATTAAAAATATATATATATATTATAAATTCTATTTTAAATTTAAAAGAGAAAAATTTCACATCACATAATAATTGAATTCAAACTATATAACTTTATTAAAAATATCCTTAAAAGTGCATAGATTCTGCTTTTAACTAAGAAAACCATAGAATGTAAAATTCCATTGATTTTATATTCTATAGTTTTCACATCCCATCAATTCAACTACCACTTTCAAAGAGTTCAAGTTGACATTAAATTTAGGAAACAAGAAAATGATTTATATAGGGTTTACTTGTTTGGAATGGAAGATGTGGAGAAGGGAAAAGGACCACGTGGAGTGGAAGAAGGAAGTTGATAAGTTAATTTTGGCGTGTTTGAGAACAGAGGAGACAAAAAACCGGCAAAGGAGGAGAGGTGGAGGAGAAAAAAGATGCATAGAATAGCGTACCATTGCCAACACTAACACTAAAACTACCACTCCTCCTCTAATCTTTCACTGAAATGCTCGATTCTCGAGCTCTTAATCTCTTCCTTCCTTCTCTCTCTCTCTCTCTGCTTGTCTTTTAAGCCTCACTTCTGCACTGCACATATTATTAAGGCACTCTCTCTCTCTCTGTCTCTCTCTTTTGGTAGAAAAGTAAGAATGAGACTGATAGATAGAGAGTGTTTGAGTATGTAGACATGGAGCAATGTTAACTGTAGAACTGAAGGCGTGACACTGATTTTTCTCTTCACTTTTGTTATTTAAAGATGTATTGATAGAGACAGCGGGGTAACATTGACCCTAAAAGGTAATTTTTGAACTAATTTTTAGCGTTTTCGTTAAATTCAAATTTTACCTTTGTTAATTATACTGTTCGGTAATATAATTTAACGTTTAGCGTTTCACTTAGATTAATTAAGTTTTTTTTAAAATCATACCTATTATTTTTTCTCTTGAATTTAGTTAATTAAACACCTAATGTCATTTTTTGTCAACTAAGAGTCTGTTTGATAAAATTAGTTGTTTTTATATGTGTTAGCTGTTTTAATAGTTTTTAGCCGTTAGCTGTTTAAGTAGTTTTTCATAAAATGCTAAAATTTAAATGTTACGTGAGTTAACTTTTTATAAAATGTTACCTTAGTCTCTAAAAACTAATTCAAATACTATGTTAATAAATACCGTAAAAAATAGCGTATAAAGGCTAAAAACTACTTAAAAAAAACTATTACCAAACACAAACTAAAAACTAATTGCGAAGAGTTACTGCAACAACTAATAAGTCATATATGCATAAAGCAACTCGTTACCCTATAATTCATATTCACATATGCAATTTGAGGATTTTAATACTAGAAAAATACTTACTTACTTCTAATGTATATACAGCAAACCGATTAAAAAGAAATTTTTGAATCAAACGGAAATATTTTTAATAATTCACGAGTATGAAATTGAGCGTGGCAGTTTTTTTTTTTTTTTTTTTTTTCGGAAATATTTTTAATAAATTCACGAGTATGAAATTGAGCGTGGCAGTTTTTTTTTATTTTCTGTTTTTTTTTTTTTTTTTTTTTTGACATTGCGTGGCATTTTTTTTTTATGCGAATTATATATTGATTTAGTTATTTGATTATATAAATTTTCTGAAAATTCTAATGCTTTTGGAAATGAACGGCAGATTGAAAATATAAAATGATGCAAGGATGTATAACTTTGAAAACAAAACCTTCAAAATCTCCTAATCAGCTTATAACCTGCTACAAGTATCTTTGATTAAGATAGGATACCCGAAAATATTATATCCATTAATTGTTGAGAAATAAATTTAAAAATATGGCAAATGATGGTACAATCATCATCGTGGTCAGCAAGAAACAACACTAAACAGTGTTAGGAACCAGATCTGTTTATCAATTGAGGAATGTTTCCCTAATTTGCAGTTTCTACAATGTTGGAATAGTGTAATTTGTATGTATTAAAAAATCAATAAAAAGAAAGTGCAATTTCCTTTTTTTGGAATTATTTATTTATTTTTAGTGCTTTTAGTGTATACTAGTTTTTTTTATGACGTGCGATGGATATACGTTAATTATACTCATTATATTCACATTTTTTACACTCGTTTAGTTTTTTATTTATATAATTAAAGTATAAAATAAATATAATGATCTTTATATATATAGTAAAATATTCTTTTTAATTATATATCTTGTACTATAATATCTCATTGAAAAAAAATTGATATATTTGTTTCTTACTTTAAAATAGCAATTTAAATATGAAATATGTCATTTATATTCTCTTCAACATACTGATTCATATAGTTTTTATTATACGCTAGTTTCCTGTCAACATACTGATCCATATAGTTATTTATTATACGCTAGTTTGCTTTTATTTTTTGTCTAAGTACTGCTATAATTGAATTATAAAAATCATATATATATTCTTATTTTACGTTTTAATAAGCAACCTTATATGTTTGTTGTTAATAACTTCCACTATAATCTCTTTTGTACATAAGATACTTTAACATAGAAATAAACAAAAATTAATCTAATAAAGTCAAATTAAAATATTTTATAAATAAGTAGGTAATCTTTTATTTTGTATTTTTTTAAGCCAAGCAAAATCAATAAAATTTATTTTAAAAAAGTTTATTAATAAATTATATTTCCTTAATAGAAAAGAATAGAATTTAAATTAAATAAGAATATCAATATAATTAATCAAAGATTGATGATATTTAAAAATGTATAATTTTTTATTCTTATTTTTTGGCCAATTCAAATTAGAGTACAGATTTGTAATCAAAGAAATCTACCATACCTTGTTAAATCCAAAATCTTATTATCTAAAATTAATAATATTATTCTAAAATAAAACTTCAAAAAAATAAAAAATTTTAAAAATACTCATATTTACACACTATTCATTAAAATAATAATGTTGAAGATAAATTAACAATAAGAGTAACATAAAAATAATAAAAAAATAATAGATTGAGTACCTTGTTAAATCAAAATCTTATTTATCTAGATATATTTATTTAAAATAAATTCAAAAAAATAAAAAATTTTAAATGACTCATATTTACACATATTCATTTAAAATAATAATGTTGAAGATAAATTACAATAAGAGTAAATAAAAATAAAATAACAAAATAATAATAGTAAATTATTAAAATTATTATTAATAATTTATATAATAATACATTGAAATAAAACATAATTAGACATAATACGATAATAATAGTAAAATTTTAAATTTTCAAATGTTTAATTATATATATGTATTTATCTATTAAAAAATTAAAAAAAACATGCAATCAAATTATAGATATATTATATATATAGATATATTTATGTTAAAATTTTTTAATTGAATATGACTAAAGTTATTTTAGAGTATCTTAAATTTTTACCAGGACAATATAAAAAATATTGTTATTCCCCTCTTATTTCCACTTTTATATATGGTATAGATAGATTATTTTTTCCTTATTTGGTAAAAATAACTAATATATTATACTACAACTACAAATTGAAGTTGCATTTTTTAGGTCAACTATATATTATACACAACATTTTAAAAAAAGAAAATTCAAACTAGTTTGTAAAACCAAGGGAACATATATCCTATCGTGTAGTCCATAACATTATTTATCAGTCCAATGAGAAATGCACTAAGACTAATTTCATATATTCAACAATTTAATTATGGAAAAAGAAAAATATTTCAGTGTATAGGTTGAAAAATTAATACCTAGTTTACTATTTTATTTTATTTTTTTCCATTGAAAACACGATAATATTCTCATTTATACCAAATAACTTTATTAGATGGCTTGTTAACCGTATGAGCTCATATAATCATATAGTAGGTTTAGATAAATCATTCTCTGTAAAAAATAATTGGTTCTACTCAAACCTATAAGAAATTAAATAAGTAATTCCAATAATTTATTAATCTAATAATTTTATGTGATTTTTTTTTTCACCTCTCTCCCTTCCTTGGAAAAAAAAAAAAAAAACGAAAACTCCTCTATCTCTGTCTCTGCAAAAAGCTCTATAAAACCACCACTAGCTTGGATCAAATTCTTGCTCCCTGTAAAATCTC